TCAGTTTTGGTCGTCGTTATTTTTGTCACCATAGTCGCTTGCTTTGCATTTAATTACTAGCAAATTCGCGCTTAAGACAAAAGCAGGAAAATATCTATGGCCAAGTAGGGATGAACTAAAAAGATCGGTTTTGCTATGAAGCCAACAGTTGTCTCCATAGTGGAGTCAACCTTCTATATACAATAAATAAATCTACCATATTAACAAAATTATATTAATGTTATTTAAGTAATCAAAGAATATGATAGGTTTATTTATTTTATATAGAAAGTTGGCTCCACTATGGAGCCAACTGTTGGCTTCATAACAAAACCGCTAAAAAGATTGTACATAATTATTAAGATTGCTTTCGAATATATATATATATATATATATATGTATCCTTCCTCTTCCTTTGTATAGAGTCAAACTACAGCGAAAATGGTTTTTCCCATGAAAATAAATACTAAAGTAAGAATAAATTGTGATCACTAGATGTATTGCATGTAACAGATATCGTCCAATCAGATTACTTACCCTGCCAACCATTCACCCAGTCATCCTATATATGCCTGTGGGACCCACCCCCAACACTCTCACTCCCCAACTCTCTCTCTCTCTCTCTCTCTCTCTCTCTCTCTCTCTCTCTCTGTGGTTGCTTCCTCTTCAACTCTCCCTCAACATTGCACCTTCGTCGCCCGCCAGTCAGCCTCCACCTTGGCGGCAACAGCAGCAAGCAGAGAATCCCCTCTCGGCGAAAATGACCAACATCTAGTTAATAGTTGTCTGCAACATGGCCATAATTCGAGATGAGCAACACTAATTCTAGTAATTTCCACTCAAAAAAGCAACACGATTGCTTCAGCCTGATTTCGTCAAATCGGGCAAGTTAACGGTGAGACGACGAGAAATAGACGGCGGCGGGGGGATTTGGATGGTGGAGACGCTGATGCTCAGCCACAGGAACTCGGTCGCATGCTGACGCAAAAGGGAGGCAACCTTGATGGTGGTGCCGAGGTTCGAAATCGTGGCAATTAGGGCTGAAAGCGAGTTGAGCCAAGTCATTCATTGGTTGTAAGATTGATTTTTTTACCTGCTCGAACTCGTCAAGCTAGATTTATGGCGCTCGAAATCGACTCGACAAAAGAAGACAATCGCTCGAGCTTTGCTCAAGATCGATTGAAATAAAAATGCTCGACAGATTGCTCAGGATCGACTCGACTCGAATTTCAAGTAAAATTACCATTAAATACATATGGTAATTATATATATATTATTATAATATTTATATAAGGGGTATTTTAGTAATTCCATATATATCACGAGTCGCTCGCGAGCCGCTTGACCTTCTAAAACTTGTGCTCGAGATCGACTCGATAACATGCTCGAGCCGCTCGAGCTCGACTCGAGTTCGGCCAAACTCAAGCTCAAGCCGAGCTTTGACTCGAGCGCTCTTGAGCTGCTCGTCTTGTTTGCAGCCCTAGGGGCAGTGATGAAGCCCATCAGAGGTACTAAGTGACGACAACACCACTGGTGTCGTTGGGACTATTGGTTATTGCGAAGAGAATGGAAGCGAAGGGTGGCTGGAAGTATAATCTCCGATTGGGGCGAGGAAGAGGCGACGAGAGGAGCCATTCCATGGGGGAGAGGAAAAGACGGTGAGAGGTGGCGAGGTCGTAGGCAGTGTGGGTTGCGGGTGAAAAAGATGATCGACAGTTGGTGCGACGACATCACCTTTACAGTGGAAATGGAGATTTGGGAGTTGGGGGCTTTGTTTGAAATTTTGATAAGTTCAAAGACTCATTTACAATATCAAGAATTGTAATTATATTGCGATTTAATTCATGGGTCAAGTTTTAAAAAATTAATAAATGCACAATATTGTGTGTAGATATGTAAAGTAAAAATACCGTAATATTGATAAAAATTTATTAAAAATTTGTTAAATTCACAATATTGAATGAGTAAATTGCACTGTGTGTAGATATGCACATTAAAAATACCGTCATATTTATACGAATTTATAAAATTGTCACCGCCTAAACAACTAAAAGTTCACAAATTTGAGGAAAATAACTTCACACATTTACCAAAGCGCCACTGCGCTATGGGAATGCCAATAGTTTTAGAGAAATGCACATCAGATGAATATGCACATTGATGTGTGTGAAAATGCATATTAGTGTAACAACATATACGTGAAAATCAGAAGGTGTTTAGAATTACAGCAATGTCACCGCACATTTGACCAATGTTGGAGCCTTTTACTAGACATGGAGTGTTAAATTATAAATATATCACATTCGACCGCTATGATTCATTATTATTCCTCGTGAGACTTTAGACGTGCTATTTGCACATAAAAACACCTTCACTATAGAATGCATAATAGCGTTAAACATGATGCACATTAATGTCCCTAAGACTGCACATTAGCGTAAAAGTGTATTCGTATAATGACCAAAATACTTCCGCGTGAAAACAGAAAAGTCCACACATTTATAGGAATGTTAGCGCCCCTTTGACCAAACTTGGACCCTCTGATTGTGCTTGGAGTGTTGATATATCACATTCAACCGCTGCGATCTATTTTTATTTCTTTCACTATGCTTTTTTATATGATCTCACTTATATATATATACATGATGTGGTTTAAATGAGAACCAGTCTTAGCGTGAGAACCGCTATTTTTAATTGTATGTAGTATAATGATTGTTTGTGTATTAGTGCTATTTTTATCCATGATGTATACAATTAAAAATAACAACAAAATTTTTGTTAGCATTTTGTGAAAATAATAACACCATGTAATATAAGAAATAGCATTATACACAATTAAAAATATCATCAAATATGATTCTGATCACTGTTCTCACATCCGAACTATTTTTTATTTGAACAATATATATATATATATATATATATATATAAAGAATAAAGAGGAGGGATTATATCCTTCTAAGTCAATAAGCAAATGATATCATGCTATGTTACCCGGACTCGGCACCTACCGCCGGCGTACCCGTGTCGACACGACATGACACGGGTACCGGTATGAAATCCGGCTCCGATCCGATCAAAAGAGGCCGGTAGAAGGTCGAAGCTCGAAAGTCGAAATTGTAATCAGTTTGAAAGGCGACAGGCGTCTGAAGTTAAGGGCAAAATCGAATCTGAAATTGGAAGGGCAACAATGGATCTGAAGTTGAAAGGCCGAAGAAGAGGAACAATGAATTTCGATTTTTTTTTTAAAAAAGTGAAACGCGTTTCACTGTTGAGAGTTGGAACTCGTGGGCGGCTGTTGACATCTAGGTTAATTGTATGTGAAATTGTGAATTGAATTTTCATGGGCAAGTTAATGGGCTTATATATTACAATGAAGCCCAAATCCAAAAGTTTTAGGTTAGCTGTACGTGAATTGAATGTGCATCAGTCCATAAGCACGTTAATGCTAAATATACATACATAATGCGCTTTATATTTAATTAAGCCCAAATTTTAAATGGGTATGTATGTAGGCAAAAAATAATAATTACTACTCATAATTGTCCACGTACCCGTGTCCAATTTTGGGTACGTGTCTTCGTATCTTAACTTTTAGAAATATAAATACCGGATACTTAAATATGTACCCGTATCTGACACATGTACCCGAGTCCATGTAACATAGATATCATGTGGACCCTATATATTCCACATTGAGGTATTTTTCTCTCATTTTCTGCAAGTAGGATCGATATTTGCACACAAAGAAATCCATTTTCTTTGTAGTTGGCTAAAAAAAGGTTCAAGAATGGAACTAAGGATGCAACAAAAATTAGGGAGTCTTAGTGCACTTGAAGAATGCAATGAACACTTTGCTAGAACCATAAACCAACCCAACAGACCTTTTCCTCTAAAATTGCTTCAGTTCCTCTTGATTCTATTAGGACTGGCCATAGTTTGTTCATTCCTCAGTTTTTACGCGACCCGGTATCTCAAGGTACCGGCCGAGATCACCATAATTCAGTCAAAAATCCAATCTTGTTCTCAGGAACCAGAAACTTTATCGAGCTGGATCAAGCCTCCTTCGGATTTATCGCATCGTATGAACGATACAGAGCTTTTTTGGCGAGCTTCGTTTGTTCCGGGTGTAAAGACTTACCCTTTCAAGAGAATTCCCAAGATTGCTTTCATGTTCTTAACGAGGGGGCCTCTGCCTTTGGCACCACTGTGGGAGAAGTTCTTCAAGGGATACGAGAAGCTTTACTCGATTTACGTTCATACTACGCCTTACTATCTGCCCGGGTTTTCGCCTTCATCGATTTTCTACGGCCGGCAAATTCCGAGTCAGGTAACCCTGTTGAGCCCTTTTTTTATGCTTATTTTGTGGTGGATTTTTTATTTAATTATTTATTTTTATTTTTTTGGTACTAAGGTGGATTTTTATCTTTGATTAGTTTATCATTTGATGTCTATGTAGTTTGTTTTTTTGCAGTTCTTTGTTTTTAGTCCAAGTGGATTTTTGGGCATGTTCATTTTATTATGTTAATTCTAATAGGAGTAATTTTTTTTTTTTAATCCTTCTAGGGTTGTCTTGTGGGAAAAGAAATCTTGTAATAGTCATAATGTATTGTATAAGAATATGATTCAGACCATAATTTCAATTTCCATTTATCATGCCCTTATTAATTTTCATTGTATTTGAATATATAAGAATGAAGGTGTTGAATTTCTTGAACCTTCTTAGGTTGTCTTGTGTGAAAAAATCTTGTAATAGTCCTAATGCATACTATATATTCAGGAGAAATACGACGGTCTCGTTGCGAAATCAATCCGTCGGGACTTGTAATCATCCGTTAGATCATCATGTAACCGTCGGGATAGTTGATGTAATGGTTACGAACTCCGATGGAATAGTTCCGTAACGAAACCATAGCATTTCTCTATATTCATGATATGATTCAGACCATGTGTTTGATTTTGTATTTCCATTTAGAATCGCTTTATTAATTTTCATTGTTCTTTTTATTTTTTCTCGGAAGGTTGCCAAGTGGGGCAAAATTAGCATGGGGGATGCCGAGAGGCGTCTCCTCGCGAATGCCCTTCTCGACTTTTCCAACGAGTGGTTTGTTCTCGTGTCCGAGGCTTGCATCCCAGTCCGCAACTTCAGCACCGTCTACCGATACCTCTCTGGTACCCCACTGAGCTTCATGGGCTCGTACGACGAGCCCAGCCCGGAGGGTCGGGGCCGCTACAACCGGAAGATGGCCCCGCTCGTCAACCTCACCAATTGGCGCAAAGGGTCCCAATGGTTCGAGGTCCATCGGGAATTGGCCGTGAGGATTGTCCGAGACACAGTCTACTACCCAAAATTCAAGCGGTTCTGCCAGCCCGCGTGCTACTCGGACGAGCACTACTTCCCGACCATGCTCACGATCGAGTCCCCTCGTCAGTTGGCGAACAGGAGCTTCACGTGGGTTGACTGGTCGAGGGGAGGGGCCCACCCGACGACTTTTGGGCCGGAGGACCTCGATGAGTGGTTTTTCATGGAAATCACCGAGCAATCGAAGGGCTGCCTGTACAACGACCGGCCCACGTTGATGTGTTACATGTTCGCCCGCAAGTTTGCGCCGAGCGCGTTGGATTCGTTGATGGGGAATTCGATCCAGTGGTTCGGGTTTTGAGGTTGCACGGTCGAACTTTCTTCATTTTTTTTTTTCCCTTTCTTAATTTCTTTCTAATTGACCATAACCACAAGCATAGGTCATTTGATGAACGATATACACAAGCAAAACATGTCATTGTAAGATGAGATTTGGAATATTGGGATGTGATCATATTTGCACTGTAGTTGGGTACTTTTTTACAAGAAAGGCATTTAATACAGTTTACTGGGCACAAAAGACAAGCTGAAAAAAGGTACTATAGGTAGGTATTATACTTAGAAATGATCCCCTACCCACGGAGGACACTTGTTAATATGTCCACCGTGTAGGTGGTATGCACTCATTAGTGGTGTTAATAAATTTTAAAAAATACATCACCAATAGTGCATGCCACCTACGCGGTGGGCATATTAACATGTACCCACCGTGGGTAGGTGAGCATTTCTCGTATTATATATATATATATATGAATTGTAAAGATTGTAATTCCCATTGGGTTTTACTAAAGTAACAAGTGGGGTCTACAAAGAATAGTGTATGGGGATATCATATGCCTATTAAGTATTATTCAATATTATATTGTTGTACGGGTCACAATTATTTAGTAATTTAAATTTGAGCTAATGAGTTACGTAAAAAAAATAATTAATTAAGTACACTTATTTTAGTCGCTTTTTAGACTTTCATGTTTCATGCTTATATACGTGTTCTTTAAAGTTTGGCATCTTCTTATTCTTACTGTTTGTGTAAAAATTCAGGGCTTGATTGTTTATGAAATAATTTGTTCAAAATTAGTTATTTTGGTTAACCATAGTTAATTTTGAAAAAGATGGTATGATTAGTTGTTAGTGAAATTTTAAGGATGTATTAAAATAATATTTAAAATAAAATGATTAAAATTGATTTGATGTAAAAGTAAGAGATAAATGATTGGAAATGATAGGTAGTTAAAATTATGTGAGTGGATGAATAGTGAATTAAAGTTGATGTGATGTATAAGAATGATTGGTTTGTTGTATTAAAATATATGAATAATGTTAAAGATAGTGGGGTTGAGTTAAAGTTGAGTTAGATTTTGAGTTTAAATAAAAATGAGTAAATTAATTGGTATACAATCAAGCCCTCACTCATTCCAATGATTATGCATATTTTGTCTGGTGCGACCTATTTTTGGGGTTTAGATTTAGATGATTGAAAAAACATGTATTGGAATGAAAAATAAATAAATAAATAACTTATATAACACATTCTTGTACACAATATTATTTGTTTGATCTTTTGGTACATTGTCTATTACCACAACATATATTAGGATTCGAAATAGGCTTAAATATATCAATTAATTATTTACCATAATATATATGATGTTTTGTAGGTGTATGCAATAATTATTTATTTTGCAAGTGTATGCCATCAATTTCAAATTTGTATTCTAAAGGATTAAACGAAATCCAAAAATCATTATTTATTTTGCAAGTGTATGCAATCAATTTCAAATTTGTATTCTAGCGGATTAAACAAAACCCAAATTTTTAGGATGTTCCAATCCAGATTCATTTTGAATTGTAAATTAATATTATCTGACTCTATTTTATGTTAAAAAAAATCGAACTAAAGAAAGTAATAGCCAAATGATAATGGATTTTAAAATTTTAATTTTCAATTTCAAATTGAGCCTGATTTCTATGTGATTTGAATTTTTTTTAATAAACATGATCTGTTGCAATTAGGTAAACATACATTTTATAGTATTTTGTGTAATTCGAAATTTTCGATTTTATGGTAAACTGATTTTTTTAAATAAAAATTAAGAAAACTTGCACTTTTACAAAATTGTCATGTCAAATTTTACATAATTTAACCCGATTTCTATGAAATCCGATTTTTTTAATAAACAATTAATGTGTTGCAATTAGTAAAAGATATATGTGATAGTATTTTGCCTAATTCGAAATTCCCGAGATTTTATGGTAATTAGTGTTTTTTTAAATAAAAATGAGA